CTCCATGCTTCTTGGGGTATCTTTTCATGCACGCTTCTTGTTGGAGAACGATTTGTTAAGTAAATTGCACAGGCCACTGCTTCGGTCCAAAACTCCTTCGGCATCTTCTTGCTCTTGAGCATGCTTCGTACCATGTTAAGTATAGTCTGATTCTTTCTCTCTGCTATTCCATTTTGTTGAGGCGATCTTGGCACAGTCAGTGGGCGACGGATTCCATGGTCTTCACAATATTTGTTGAACTCATTTGAAGTGAACTCTCCTCCTCGGTCAGATCTCATGGCCTTGATGGAAAAACCACTTTCTTTCTCCACAAGGGCTTTGAACTTCTTAAAGTTGTCAAATACTTTTGACTTCTCCTTCAAGAAATAAACCCATATTTTTCTAGAATAATCATCAATAAAGAGGATAAAATATTTATTCTTACCAAACGAGTTGGGTTTGATTGGTCCACAGACATCCGTGTGTATGAGCTCTAGTGGCTTTGTCGCTCTTGACGTTGATTCCTTTGGAAAACTTTTTCGGAATTGCTTCCCAATTATACATCCTTCACAGAGTTGGTCTGGGTGGTTGATCCTAGGCAAGCCTCTCACCATCTCTTTCTTCGACAAACGTTCTAAACCATCGAAGTTTAGGTGCCCGAATCGTAGATGCCATAGCCACGAAGAATCGGTATAACAAGCCTTGAGACACTTTGCTACGTCATTTTGAATGTTCAAGAGGAACATTCTATTTTTTGACATAGGCACCTTAGCAATCAAGTTATGACTACAATCTCTTAAGAAAAGACTATGTTCTTTTAAGTGGATGTCATAGCCTTTCTCTAATAATTGTCCCAAACTCAAAATATTATTCTTCATGTTAGGCACATAATAGACATTGGATATGAATTGATGACTCCCATTCTTCAAGCGTATGAGAATTTTACCTTTTCCTTTGACCGGTATCTTTGAGTCATCTCCAAATGATACATCACCAGTTGCCGCTTCATTGATCTCTACGAACATGCTTCGATCGCCACACATGTGGTTGCTTGCGCCAGTGTCCAAGTACCACTTATTTCTTTTCTCTTCAACTTCGTTTTGACAAGCGAGTAGCAAAGTTTCTTCTTCTCCACCTTTTTCTTCTACAAAATTAGCTTTCTCTTCCACTTTCTTCGAGAATCTACACTGGGTTGCGTAATGACCAATCTTGTTGCAGTTGAAACATTTGACTTGTGATTTATTGCTCCTCGACCATGAGGTTCCTCTTCCACAACCTCTTGTTGCTTGTGGATTCCAACTTCTTTCTCCATTGTTGAAGTTGTTGGAGTAGTTATTGCAACCTCCTCTTCCTTCTCCTCCATGTCCTCGTCCATGTCCACAATATTTGCCACAACCTCGTCCTCTTTGGCTCTTGTAATTCGCATAGTTTGATTCCTTTATGTTTAGTTGTAGTAATTGCTCCATAGCCTCCTTTTGTTTAATTTCTCTCTTTTGTTTTTCTTCGTATGCTTGTAAGGAACCCATGAGTTGCTCAATAGTCATGGTCTTTAGATCCTTATTTTCTTCAATGTTGGTAACAATGAAGTCAAAACTTGGATTTAAAGTGCGAAGTATTTTCTCCATGACTTTCACATCATCAACATCTTCACCATTTCTCTTAAGTTGATTGACTACAGCCAATACTCGAGAAAAATAATCTGAAATTGACTCGGACTCCTCCATAAATAAACGTTCAAAGTCACCTCTAAGAGTTTGAAGACGAATCTTTTTTTACCTGCTCAACTCCTTTGTTGCAAGTTTGAGGCTTGTCTCATGCTTCTTTGGCTGTTGTTGTATTGGATATCTTCTCAAACGTATCTTTATCCAACGATTGATAAATGAGAAAGAGAGATTTCTTGTCTCTCTTTCTTGACTCCTTCAATGTCTCTCTTACACCTTGGCTTAGCGAGGATTCATCTTGATCCTTGAAGCCTTTCTCAACAATATCCCACACATCTTGAGCTCCTAGTAGCGCCTTCATCTTGATACTCCAATTATCATAGTTGTTCTTTGTGAGCATCGGCATTTGGAAAGGGAAACCACCATTCGCCATTTTGTGGATCTTGAAGCTCTGATACCACTTTGTTGGAAATAAGACCTTTTATGTTAAGAAGTGTGTGGGAATATTGAAGGTTTGAATATAAATTTGATAAGTAGGATAATTTTGTATGGAGGAGAAGAACTTTGTATTTTGCTTGATACAAATGTGTGGGATTACATATCTATTTATAGTACTCTAAGGAGAACTCTAGACACACTAATTCTAGAGAGTTCTCAACTCTAGAGATCCAAAGACTATTCTAGAAAATATTACAATTATAAGAAATATCTAGAGATTCTAAATATTAAGAATTCTCTAGAAAACTACTTAAACCCAAAATAACTAAGCCCAAAAACCAATTAATAAATTTAGGCCAAAATCAAGTTTAATATTTTCAACATACTGTGTCACTTGTGTCTTATTGCTCCATTCTCTTGCTTTTTTTTTTTTTTGTGTGTTTAATTTGCATTTTGTGTATCTATTTCTTGTAGATTGGGAATATATTTTACCCTTGTTCATTCTTAGTGTTGGATTCCCCCAACATGGAGTTTCTCTTTGGGCTGGATATGCTTCGAAAGCATCAGGTACCATCCTCATTTGCAATCTTGTATATTTGCCGCCAAACTGTTATTCTTATCGATGTGCCTCATGTATGCAATGTATAATTGATTTAAAAGAAAACGTTTTGCGAGTTGGTGGAGAAGTTTCAGTGCCATTTTTGCAAGGTTTGTTTATCTTATCCGGGGATTTTTAGCAATGACCAATTTTTAGGGCTTGTTTGAATTGATTTATTTTGGTTTATCTGCTCGTATAAGCACTTGCGAGACTATTTGAGAGAACGGCTTATGATATGTTAAGCTCTCTAGGATAACTTATAGAAAAAGTTATATCTTATAGCTTATGTTGTGGCATTCTTTCAGGTTACATCAGGGAACAATAATTCATCACAAGGAGGTGCTTCTGGTGGCAGGTCTAAGGTATTTTACAATTGCGTTTTTTGTGTGATGATTATGAATTATGTGTTTGAAGATTTTTCTGATTATGGTTGATTTGGTTTGAAGGATTCTGAATTTGAAAGCAAAGTTGCAAAGCTTGTTGAGCCAGGATTTGAAAGACAAGCAGTTATACAAGCTCTTCAACTATTCAATGGCAATGAGGAACAAGCAGCTGGGTTTCTTTTTGGCTGAAAACAGCTTTTCTTATATTTGAAAAAGGATTCATTTATTACTTGAATTTCATTTCAAATTGTAGAAAACAAGTTATAGACCTCATTGATTCATGATTATGATTATGGCATTTCATGTGAAGGAATTTTTCTTTTTGATTGATAAATAACTTATTGTTTCTCAATACTTATTTAAGCTGATTAATGTTTCTCAATACATAAATCATCAAAGATTTTTTCTTTCTTGCTTTTATCTTCATATTCCCATTTGATCATATTATGCATCGGATATGGTTTTAATTTGTGAATATTTGGTGTTAGTTTTGTTAATTGTGTTTTTGTCAATTTTATTTTTCCGATTAATTTTCAGTTAAAGTTTGTTTGCCTTACATAACGGTATTTCAACTAATTTTATATCTTATCCGTGGATTTTTAACAATGACCGATTCTTCTCATTAGTCTGCACAGTTTTGTTTTCAACACGATTTAACCTTCTTTTACTTAAATTTTCAGAGAAAGACATTCCATCTCGGTACTTAGATGAGGACAAGTACTAAGGTATTTTGCGACTGCGCTTTTTTATGTATCGAATATGAATTATGTGTTTGAAGATTCTGTGATTATGGTTGATTTAGTTTGTAGGATTCTGAATTTGAAAGCAAACTTGCAAAGCTAGTAGTTATTCAATGGCAACGAGGAACAAGCAGTCGGGTTTCTTTTTGACTGAAAACAACATTTTGTATTTTATAAAAACGATTAATTTTTCAATTCCTTTTCGAATTGTAAAAAACTAGTTATAGAACTCATTAATTGATGATGGTATTTACAATCAACTTTCATACTGGAAGAAATTTTTCTATTTGATTGATAACTAATTTATTGTTTCTCAATGCTTATTTAAGTTGATTAATATTTGATTATGGTGTGTGTTTGTAGCAAAAGTCGATTTCGAACAATAAATTTGAAGCTAAGTGTTTGTTCTACATTATGGAAGTTCTGAAACTTGGCTTAAAGTAGAAACTGTAAAGTTTGTTTTACAAGATGGGGTAAAAAAAAAACTGCAACAAATGAGAATTTAATTAACTTGATCTTGAAGATTCATTGGCATTGGAGTTGCAATTTTCAAATGAAGAAATAAAAGAGGCAGTTTGGAAATGCGATGGAAACAAGAACCAATGACCAAATGTATATATTTTTTTATTCTTAACCGAATATTGGGACATTTTGAGGGAAGATCTTATTTTGTTCATGAATTCCATTCAAATGTTGTACTACCAAAGACAATAACATCAATTTTTCCTTGCTCTAATTCCTAAAAATGATCATCCCTAAGAGATGCCTCATCAGATGTCTTTACAAAGTTATTTCTAGATCCCAAAGGGTTTTTGTATCAAACAGAATGACTGATAAGCGTAATGAATTTTGGGGAAATAGTGAGATGCCCTAGATTGTGTTGTACTTAGTCATTAAGCACAAAGCCAAAGAAGGGTTTAACCAAACAGCTATGAAAAACACCATACTTATCATATTTTCATACATGTTTTCAATGATCATGATCATGACATTTTTCATACATGAATATGCATAAATCAACACACTTTTCAAATTGATTCACTTTGCCATTGTCACTGATAATCATGAAAGTTCAAAAGGAAAAAAAAAGTAATCCTCTCATTACAACACAAGAAAATAACCAACATTTGATAATTCTGAAACAATATCAAACATTCTTAAACTCATAAATAACTCTATTTTATAACTTTTCACTATAACATCAAAACCTTTCAGCCATCCTAGATGTAACTGCTCTCAATTTAGAATAAACCTTTGCTGCCGGTGATCCCATAATTAGGTAACAAAGAGAATCCCTAGCAATCTTGATATTTGCAAACGATCCCAGAATGTGAATCTTAGTGTCAGCAATCACAATCCTTGTCTTCGATGCATTCTCAATTGCGAACTTCGTTTTCCCACCTTTTCCAGACAATCTTCCAATAGCTCGAGACAAGTGATCCCCTCGAAGCGTCTTAACATCCTTAATCTCAAAGGACTCAACATAAAGCTCATCCAACCGAAGAATAGCAATAGCATCAATAACATCAAAACCCAGCATAAAAGCATGGACAAAATCAGCACACTTTTGTAGGTTACTTATATCCGGAGTATCGCGCCTCGTCTTCAACTCAACTTTACGCGCCTTCAAATTCATTCGGATGTCAATTTTCATCTGCTCGTATACAGGTGTATAGATCTCCATCCAGATTTTCTTGAGAGGAGTGTAACGATGCGGCGGAACGGATACCTTGCGAAACTGAACTTGACCACTGGACATCTCATGAGGCTTTAGAGGCTCAAACTGAGGCTTTGGAGGTAAAGCTTTTGGTTCAGATAAGACAGTGTCAACTTCCATTGAAGATGATGCCCCGTTTGATTGCATCGTGAACCTGTTAAAAAACAGTGATTAAACTTAAAGTATCATATTGCAAAGTTCAATAATTCAAATCTTATGATAACAAATCAACTAATAAATTTCACATCATTCATAATCTTTTGCTTACATAACTCAGTGACCTAATATATTCATAAAAACAACCAAAACATTGCGGCATGGCTGACTGAGATGGATTTTAGGAGAGACAAACCTGGAGTAGATAGAGAAGGTATGGCGAACGAACTGAAGGAACCAACCGCGTGCTTGATTCGCAAGGTTCAACGAACAAGAAGAAGTGAAAATATTAGGGTTTTGATTTTGGTCGAAATTTTGTGAAGTTAAGTGAAACTTTTGGGCCTTAAAATCCAAGTAATTGGGCCGGGATGAAAGTATTATAATGAATAAATAAGTAAATAAAACATAATTTCTTAATCCAAGTAGTCATATCACTTATCATTCATTTATTTATTTCACTCTTAAAGATTTTATCCAATTTTTCTAAATCAAAATTAAAATTAAAATTAGCATAAATAATTTAAGTTTTTTTATACAAATTAGAGAATACAATAATAATATTATATTTTTATTCATCATTAAGATTCTATTCTAATAAAGAGAGAAATGAAAATTATGAGAGTGAATTCAAATGAATAGATAATATTAATGGTTTTAATTTTTTTATAGAGCTTAAATGATTTGTCAAAGAGTAAAAAGATTTAAAAAAAAATATTAAAATTTTGATAAACTTAAAAAAAATAGATTTTTAATCTACATAAAAATGTCAAATACATTTTTAGTTTAAAATAGATAGAACAGTATTTCTTATGGCATAATTGAATTAGTACTAATATAAATGATATATAAAATACAAATTAATAAACTCTTTAATAAATTATCGGCAGAGAGTTAAAACAAAAATTGAGAAATAGACTTAAGTCTAAAATATAGATTAAAAAATTAAGAGAAACAGACATTTGAAATAAACAAGTAGTAATAAATATGAAGTATGTGATTCTTTTATCACAAAAAGTTATGTATTTAAAATTCATTTATTTTTAACCATTAGTTCAATTGTAATACAATTTTAAAAATATTTTTTTATATATTATTTTCAATCTTGACAACTCTCGTTTTATTAATTAAAATTTATTTTAAAATGATTGTAATTTTCAATTTTCAATTTAGTAATTGATTATTATTTTTTTAATTATATCTTTTAATTACTAATATATGAATAAAGTTAATTTCATAAAAATATAATATTTTATAATAACATTATTGTATGTTTTAAACTGTGTACAAAAAATATTAAACAAATATATATTTTGATTTGAAAATATTAGAAGCATTCTTTTAAAAATGAGATAAATAGATTTTGATTTTGATTTGCAAACATTGAAAGCAATTTGAGAGTGAAATAAATAGATAGGTGATAAGTGATATGAGTATCAAATAAGTACCAAATGAGCACACATCTATTTATAGAAAAGAAATAAAAACCATTAAAATAATAAGAAAAACAAAAAATAATTAAAATATTCACCTGCTCGCCTAATGGATGGACGAGCATTAGAAGCAGGAAAACACCGGCATACACTCGTTCAATGAATGGTTGAGCAAGTTCATTAAACGTGGCATATTTGGAAAGAAAATTCAATGTGTGACATTTTAATTTGGTATTTTATTTTCAAATATGTGGAAGGAAAGTAAAAAAATCTCAAGGGGAGGTTAATATATGCAATTTTAATGTGGAGGTATTATAGACGTCCCTGTGTTGTTGGCATTGATCACACTTTTTATGTATTTATTAGCGTCTTTGACTATGGAAGGTCAATAATATCCAGTTCTGAGAACCTTTTGGCTAAAGCTAGGATGCTTAGATGTTGCCTGGTTATTCTTTCATGCTCTTCGGCGAGGGTGTAGGCAACTTCTTCCCTCTCCAAGCATTTCAGCAAAAGGGTTGACAAGCCTCTTCTGTATAGTTTCACCTATTTCTTTCTTGAAAATCTTTTTCATCATTACCTAATATGTTTTCCCTGCGTTCTTTAAGCCAAAAGATACTATGTTATTGTAGTAATGAATTTTTTCATTCATGAAGGTCATTCTCTCTTTGTCTGGTTAATACTTAGGTATGTGATTGTAGCCAAAATACACATCTATAAAGGACAAAAGCTTTTATTTGGCCAGATTATCCACTAACTTATTTATGTTTAGGAGCGAGTATACGTTTTTGGGACATGCTCTATTTAGGTTAGTGTTATCAACGTACATCCTCCAATTCTCGTAGGCTTTCTTGAATATCACTACATTAGATAATCATTATGTGTATCTCAATTCGGAGATAATGTTAGCATCAAGCAAACCCTTAACGATCTTCATAGTCGCCTCAATCTTTTGAGAAAACTTCCACCTCCTCCTCTATCACATGGACTGGGCACCATAATCGATGTTTGATTATTGTCACACTACACTTAGGTCTACGTCGGGCATCTCACGGGGAGAGACGACAAAAAGGTCAGAATTTGGCCCTTAAGCATTCAACAAAACCTTTCTTCACCCCTATGGGTAGGTCCCCCTATTCTTACTAACCGCGTCAGGTTGTCATCGAGGTGGATGACTTAAAATTCACTATGTGCAACTAGCCTCAAGGTCTTCATCTTGTTTTTTGGTATGGAGATCCAGCTCGTCATCCTGCAGGGTTTCATCTTTGCGTACCTCGAGATCAACCATTTTGATTGTTTTGCAAGCCTCTTTCCTTCTCTTATAAGGACGAAAATCGTTGATAAGGGATTTTTAGTGTTGCTACATGTATATGTCATAATCCTCGAAAGGTTGGTAGTGATTACGACTACTTTTCAGAATCATTGTAATACTTCATCTTCAACTGGAGGGTGGAATTACTATGTCTAGTTTTACAAGGAATGGTCTCATAAGAATGCCATTGTAAACACTCTCATGAGGGATCACAAAGAATCGAACATTCACGAATCTCTTATATCTGCCTTCTCTTAAGGAAATGTTTAGATTTATCAATTAACATGGACAAGTATAGGAATTGTTGTATTCTAGAAGACTATGGACTTCACAGGGCTTCAGATCGTTTTTACTTAAACCTAGCTCCATGAAGACTTTTAGATATATCAAATTGCACGAAGTTCCCTCATTAATGAGGATTGTAACACCATAGATTTGGTAAAATTATTTTATTTTGAATTAATTATAATTTTGTGTATTTATTTAGTTATTATGTGTTGATGATTAGATAAATGTGGGTGCATGGGAGGGTGTGTGACCTTATAGTTGGGTGTGAAGAGTAATTAGAGAAAGAGAGAATAATTAGAATTATTTTATTAATTAAAATAATGATTTGATTATATTATTTAAAATAAAATAAATAGATAAAAAGAAATAGAAGTGTAGAGATATTGAGAATAAAATAGAGATTAGAGAGAATAGGGTATAATAGGAATAGCCAAAGAAGGTACTAAGTTTTTAGTGTAAAAAGGGAATTAGAAGGAAGGACTTAACAGTACATAGAAGTTAGGGAGAAAAGAGGAAAATGAGGCTAGGGCAAGAGAAAGAGCAAGAGAAGACATAGAGAGAGTATCCATTGATAGAGCTTAGAGGAATTTTGCTGGAAAAAATCTAAGGTAAGGGGGGAGAATAGCTTTCAAAAGGGCTTATGCATGAGGGGTGAGGTAGATGAGTCCTTAACCTCTAATGGGTATTGATGAATTGGTTGAAATATGTGTTGTGTGATGTGGTTGATTATTATTCATATGTTATTTATGAGAAATTCGTGTATTTTTGTATGTAAAATTTTGTTATGATGAATGAGTGTGTATTTACCATTGTCGTGTTGTTGAGGATTTGTTTATGTGAAAATATTTTGAGGAATTTATGACCTTTGGTGAGTAAATTAGTGAATTAGTGATTGGAGATAGTGAGGGTTTTTATTTGGGTCAAACGATGTTTTGAAATAAGTGCTTTTGTGTAAAAATGTGTTTGGGTGAGTAAAATTGATTAAGTAGGTCTTTATGTGCGTCAAAACTAAGTTTTTTTGTGATTTGGTACAGAGGGAGTCGACCCATATGAGTTAGGAGTCGATCCCTAATAACCAAAAACTTAATTTTTTGAAAATATTACAGTAGGAGTCGACCCGTAAAAGCTGGGAATTGACCCATAAGAACTAGAGTCGACCCATAAGACCAGGGAGTCCACCCATAATGTCCAAAAGCTTTACAAATCTGTGTCGATTATTATCTTAGATTTTTGCTCTGTGCTAGGGATTTGAGTTGTTATAGACATATACTGCTTAGATTCTTATCTAAGATGATTATCTGTTAGTTTCTGAATTCTAGAGATAGATTTAGAGTTGATATCTACTTGGGTATCAAAGCTTAATGCCTCTGTGTAGTTGTGTTGTACTGAGAGATCGTCAGTGCGATTACATAAGTTGTCTTATGTGTTATTGAGGAGGTTGATAGATTATTTCCTTGGTGATACAGTCGGTCTCTAAATTTGGGTTAGAAATGACTTAGGTTGTGAGTGATACGTGATGACATTGATGAGTATTGTTAGGTTGAATGTAACTGGTCGATAGATTTAAGTCTGTGATGAGTAGATTATATGCAGGCTTGATAATTTCTTCCTTAGTTTTTTCTTTTGTTTATATTTATTTTTTGTTGATAACATTTTCTTTACAAACCCATTCAATCCCAAACTCATTAACGGGAGATTTATCGAACGACAATTCAATAACCAATCTCCGTGGACACGATAAATTCCCAGATAAATATTTCCAAAAATTTTGTTGCTTGCCACTATACCGCTCCAACAAAATGGCGTTATTGTCGGGGATTGGTTCTATTGTTTTTGCATTGCGATAATTATTTTGTTTTTGAGTTTATAATTAATGTATATGTTGTATAGAAATTGTATATTAACTTGTATATGATATTTGTGCATATATGTGTTCTCACGTATTGTTGTGAATTGTCTCGTTTTCGTAACGTTTGTTGTGTGATTGTTAGGACACTTTCTTTAGATTTGCACGGTGTGACAATACCATGGCATGATGAGAGGAGGTTACTAGCTCGCACAATAAAGGCGTCGAACTTACGACGTAAAACAAACATGTTTGTTTGTATTTGTTTATGTGTGTGGTGATTTGTGCTTTAACAAGTTGAAACAAGGAAATGTTCTGAATTTCAAATCTTCACTTTTCAACTTGTTAATTCATTTTTACCCGGTTTTCATATCGTTATTTGTATTTGTTTTGTTATTCCAATTTGTGTTTTCCGAAAGCTTGTCGTGTTTAGCTTAAGGAGTTTTGTTCGTTGTATATATTGTAAATTTTGTACATTGAAATTTTGTAGGAGTATTATTTTTCTAATTCTTTTGTTGTTGTTTGCACTCAAGTTTTGGTCCAATAACTTGTAGAATATTGAGGTGATTTGTCAAGTTTGATCGTTTTGACTTACGAATGCGTGGTAATGATTTTGTTAAAGTTTTGTACACGTCTGAGGTATGTGTTTCTCGCTTTCTATACTTTAGCATATTCATGATACTTAGAATTTTTACAATTTTTATGTCATTCATTCTTTTGTATACTTGTTCATTTGTGAATCACTTTAGTTCCTACCCTTTTTGTGAGGTAGCTTTCCATTGTTCACATATGTTGGAGACCACAATTCTTATTTTAACTGGATTTTATTATGCTTAATTTTTTGTTTGTGTTGATTGTATGAAAGCTTAAACATGATCAAGGCATTTATTTGTTTCATTTTAAGGACAACTACCCTTGGCCAAATAGTCAATTCACCTTGTGAGTGTGTGATCATTAGTAATCCCTTTGAGCGTTTTGTTGATATCCATGTCATTTTTGCTAAATGCTTGTCTATGAGTGTTTAGTTTCCCTTTTTGCATGGATGTTGATTGCGTTGTTTTCTTGAACCTTCAACTATGATTTTTAGTTGAACTTTTACCTTGCCTTAGAAAGTAGGGAGTATTCACTTAAATGTATGGTTGAATTCAAGTTGGGGAGAAAAATGATTATGTATTTATTGGATGATTGCTATGAGGTTGAAAAGAAAAGAAAAGAAAATAAAATATGAAAAAGAAAGATAGAAAAAGAAAGAAAAAAATTGAAAAGCATTGAAAAAAGAAAAAAAAGAGTTGGAGTAATGTTGTGTTAATAAGTGATGGCATTTGGTGTGAAATTTGGGATTTAGAAGAAGTTTAATCAGAATTTTGTGTTTGAATATTTGGTGGATTGATCACTCCCTTAGGTTTAGGAAATTTTTTGTTTCGTTTAGCTTTAGGACTTATACACTATTTGTTAACCAAGCCACATTACAACCTTGAAAAGCCCTTGAGATTCTTACTTTTATATTTTCAATGTAAATTTTTGGATGAATGCATAATTTAGTCTATTGTTTGCAAGATTGTTGGATGAGTGAAAATACCCTATTTTTGTGTGTTTTTCATCTACCGATGTTTGTGCTTGCTAGGTGTGATTCATTTGTGAACTAGTATTTTTTTTAGAATATTTGGAATAACTTTTGTATT